AAAATTGGCCAAGCTATAAAAGCTAAAAACTCTCCAGAGTTAGGCATTAGTAGCTGCTTAGTAGTTTTAGTGGTAATAGCTGATATAGACAACGGATTATCGAACAGTTACCAATCCTCAATTTTAATCCAACATGAAGTGTTTTGTAAGTTTCTTTAAAACTCCTGACTCCTCCCAAAAGGATATTCCAAAATGCTAAAGTGTTATTTTTTGTGTGTCAAACTTTCAGATCATTTGTGTCGTCATTGCCTGTTCCCTTGCCCTTGCCGTAAGAGCAGATAATGATCAAGTGGCTGCCGCCTCGGAAAATTCATCACAAGATCAACTAACCGCCTCGGCTAGCAGCTTGAATCCTTATTCGGAAAAACATCAAGGCAAACGTTATGTGGGTGGCTATAGCGGTCTTGGAGGTTATGGTGGTTATAATGCCTTAGATACGACAACATTGGGATATGGTACCGGTGCCCTTGGTGGTGTTGGTGCCTATACGGGAGCCTTGGGAGCGGCTGGTTATGGTGCTGGATATGGTGGCTATGGTGCTGGTTATGCCGGTTATGGTGGCTACAATTCCCGATTGGGTTTGGGTGAGTAACATATATTAAAGGTTCCCTACTTTCCAAACTAAAAAAAAAAATAAAAATGTTGCAATTTTTTTTTACAATATATTGAAATTACAATAGAATTTTGAATTATTATATCTCTAAAAATCCTATAATATCGATCCTATTGAAATTTCTACAAATCTAAGGGGTTTTCTCAATTCAATTATTACTTGTTTCGAACACATAACCTCAAAATTTAAAAGAAATTAAAAAAATTTCAATCCTATTGCATTTTAATAATTATTAAATTTATTTTTATTTATTATTTCATATATATTTTTTATTGCAATGAAAATACTTATAAAATCACAAAAATTTTTAAAATTACAATAATTTTAAGGTTATATTTAAATTCTAAAATCAATATTTCAAACTATTTTCTAGCATTTCACCCATACAATTATTCATAAAATAATTACATATATATAATTTCTCTCCATTTTGTATTTTTTTCAGAAGGCTATGCCGGTTATCCTGGCTATACTGGCGCTGGCTATTATCCCGGTGCCACATATCCCTATGGCAGTGCCTACTACAACAGCTATCGTGCCGGTGGTGCCTATCCTTATGGTCGTGGTACTTATGGTTATAACAGCTACCCCTCCAGCTACTATTCTGGCGGTTATGGCAGCAGCATTGTTGGTGGTGGTTTGGGTGCTTTGGGTACACCAGGTTATGTTCCCCCTGTGGCTGGTGCTGGTTATAACTATGGTCCCGGTATTACCGGTACTGTTTATTAAGCAAATTCCGATGTGTGGTAATTTGCTTAGTGCAGTTCAAACCACAAACAAACAATTTAGAACAAATTGTAAAATATATTAAAATTTTTTCTACGCAAAAATAAATTAATTTTGAATATTTAACAAAAAAGAGGAGTGAAATTTTTTATTTTTAATAAATTATGGGAACTGGAGTTACAAGAACAGTTTAGAAAAAATTCCACAGAAAATTTCTTTACTAAAAATATATAGTTTGTATATTAAAAAAAAATTAAATCAATTTAAAAAAATATTTGAGTATTTAAAATTGGAAATTAATTTGATTTTTTTTATTAAAAACAAAGCTAAGTTATATATAGATTACAAAAAATATGTTACAAGTTCTAAACCATTTCATTATTTATATTAAAAAATTAAATCAATTTAAAAAAATATTTGAGTATTTCAAATTGGAAATTAATTTGAATTTTTTATTAATAAAAAAAGTAAGGTTATTTTATGGATTACGAAAAAATGTTATAAGTTCTAAAGCATTTCGTTATTTATTCATAACGTTGCTGTTCGAAATTAAAGTCTGATTAAAAATTTTCTAATATAAGGTCAGCTTATACCCAACCTATCTTAATTTTTGCTTTAATTTCAACAAATCGGTGCGATTTTTTTCTATTTAAATTAAAATATTTTTCGGACATAACCTAAATTAAAAAAAAAAAAAATAATGCAAATAATCTATTCTATAACATTTTAATTATTATTTACTCAATCTAGTTGAAAATTAGCAAACGATTAAAAAAAATGCTACCAGTTTTGTCACTTTTCAAATCCTTAATTAATTTTTAATTTTTCAAAATATTTTCTTCCAAAAACTTGGTAAACTTTAACCAAGCCAACGTCAGGAACATATCACACTTTCCTATTAATAAAATCCTAGTTTAATTAAATATTTTATTGTTTTATATCTGTAAAAAAATTAAAAAAAAATATATTGTGTTAATCTAAATTTTATATTCATTTAACATTTTTATTATTATTTTTATTATTAATATTATTTTTTTTTTTAAGAAGAAAAGTATTTAAAGTTAACCTCAATTTTTGACAGAAATTTCAAAATTTTGAAATTAAATACATATTTTTTTGTATATAACGTATATTAAACAATGTTCAACTATATATTATTATGCAATTATAAACAAACATTCTTGGAAATTATTTAAAAAATGTAATATTTGAACATAACCTCAATTTTTTATTACATTTTTTAAATGGAAAGAAATTTGTAATTTTTCAAATATAAATATATTGATCAATAAAAATGAAACTTCGATTATAGATTTTTCTTCAATAAAAACAAACCTTCTTGGAACTATTAAAAAAATACAATATGTAAACAAAACCTCAATTTTAAATTAAGTTCTTTTAAAAAACAAAAAAATTGAAATTTTTAATACAAAAAAAAAAAAATATATATATATATATATTTAAACATAACCTAAATGTTTAACTAATTTTTTTAAGCAAATCGATTTTTATTTTATTTAATATATTTATAAATTAAAAATCGATTTTCTTTCAAAAAAATTAGATAAAAATCAATGTAAATCAAAATAAGTCTATAGATTTTTCTTTGATGAAAAATTTTTTTAAACAGTTAAAAAAAAATGTTAGAGCATAACCTCAACCTTTTAAAAAAAATTATTTAAAAAAAAAAGAAATTTCAAATTTGTTTATCTATAAATATAGAAATTAACGTCAATCAAAGTTTATCTATAGATTTATATTCAATAAAAACAAAGCTTTTTTTACCAATTTGAAAAATATTTAAACATAACCTCAACTTTTATATAAAGTTTTTTAAAAAAGGAAAGAAATTTCATATTTTTAATATATAAAGGTCTTTATCAATGTAAATCTAAGTTTGTCTATAGATTTTTTCTGTAATAAAAACCAACCATCTTGGAAATAATTAAAAAATATAATATTTAAACATAACCTCAATTTTGAACTAAAATCTTTTAAAAACAAAAGAAATTTAATTTTTTTAATATATATATATATAATATATTATAATAATATATATAATATATTATAATAATATATATAATATATTATAATAATATATATAATATATTATAATAATATATATAATATATTTAATACATATAAAATATTTAATATTTACGCTTGTCTATAGATTTTTTCTTTAATAAAAAATAAAACCTTCTTGAAAATAATAAAAAAATAGAATTTCAACTTAACCTCAATTTTTAAAAAAAATTCTTTACAAATTAACAGAAATTCAATATTATTAAAATATAAAGATATAATTATCAATGTATATCGAAATTATTTATTAAAAATGAACCTTTTTGAAAATATTTATACTTAACCTCAATTCTTAACTGAATTTTTTTAACACACTAATACTTAAATTTCGTTATTGTTTCAATAATTAATAAACTGTTTTAAAATATCTAAAATTATTTATACATAACCTCAATTTTTAACTGAATTATTTTTTTAACATTCTAATACTTAACGTTCATTATTGTTTCAATAATTAATAGACTGTCTTAAATAAAGCGTAGTATTCATGTTCTTTGGTCCGCTATTTAAAATGAGTAGTCGTGCGTAATAGAAATAAACCTTGTTGAAATTGTTTAAAAATATTATATTTAAACATAACCTCAATTTTAACTAATTTTTTTTTTACGAAAATAAATTTTATATTTTTTACTTATAAAGATATTAATCAATGTATATCGAAATTAATCTATGGACCTTTTTTAAATAAAAACAAACGCTTTTGAAAATGTAAAAAAATATTTATACTTAACCTCAATGTTTAACTAAAATATTTCTTTAACATTATAGTACGTAACGTTCATTATTGTTTCAATAATTAAAATGCCTTAAATATAGGGTAGTATTCATGTTCGTTGGTCCCCGATTTAAAATGAGTCTTCGTGTATTCTTCACTTTGGACTCATAATGGAAAATGCATGATCAACATTTTTTAAATAAATAACCCTTCGTAAGCTCGCAAAAATTTCATTGTGAAAAGCAAAAGCGATTCGAGACTGGACCTTAAACTTATTTTATGCTGAAATTTCTTCCCTTTATATAAATCTAGTCTTCAAAATGAAAACACATTTTATTAATTTGTTAATATAATTTTTAATAATTTATTTTATTTATATATTTTCCAATAACATATTAAACATTATTAAATTGGAATTAATACATACATATTTTGTGATGAGATTTCTTATTTTTTTATTTTTATTTTATTATTTTATTTTTGTTATAATTATTTAATTTAACAATTGAACTAAATAATAGGAAATGACATAAAATGTGGGTGGATATTATGGGGTAGGGGGTTTACGATTAGCAGGCAAGCAATACATTCCAAAACAAGAAATATTTTTTTCAACTAATCAAAAGGGTGATTACAAGTCACGGAATGATAAGGTTTGGAAAATATACACAAAATTAGAAAAATTGAAATGGACAATACAAAAAATAAAACTTAAAAAAAATTATGCTGAGGGGTAGGGGAAAGTTTACTAAAATTAATGACTAATGACAAATCATAATTAAACTAATGAGTAAATTTTGTTTACTACCATCATCAATTGTACATAAATTGCAGATTAGCTCTCGGATTTTTTTCCAACACATTTGTTTAACCCTCCTTCAACGAATTACCCCATTCCCGGGCAATCATAAATATGGTATGTTGATTTAGTTTGGGACCAATCAATGGATTCATCTGGGCCATGTAACAGCACAGCCAAAACAGCCAACAACAACAACCCGTCAACATCAGGGTACAGCGTATAAGATTTTGATGTGGCCCCTTTGGTGTCATCATTGGCAGGCCAATACCAACGCCAGCCCAAATGGCAGTAAAGAATAAAATTGGAAAGAATGATGCTCCCATTTTGTAGAAGTTTTTTTATTAGTTTTTAGGTGTTTTTTCGCTAATAGCAGCAGCAAATCCGTCGAAACGAAAAAATTTTCTTTTTTTCTGTACAAGGAAACAATGTCTCAATGACAGCTCACAGAAAATATACGTCTTCTTCTTCGGTGGGTTAAGCATTCAATGTGGGTTGATAGCACGTTACAGCATGTAATGTTGCCACCTTGGTGAGTTGGTGGAAATAGGAAAACTGATTTTAATATAATTTCCGTTGCTTTTAAAGTATATATTTATATAAATGAAAGGTATATGATGTATAGAATATATATATATATATATATAAATAATTACTATACAATATAAAAAGTGGTTTGTACCAGAACCGGCAAGTATGTAATTTTTTTACTGCGATAACAATTTTTCCTTTATGATATTGAGAAAAATAGTAAAAATAAGTAGGTTCTTGCAGCACGGGAACAGACCAATTATTTCTTTTAAAAAAATCATAGAAACTAGTGTGTATTCCGAACATAGAAACTGACACAATTTTTTAAATTATAAGGTTCGTTTGTTTACTCAATAATTTGTAAAAATTTAACAAAATGTTGTTCGTTTACCCAAAAGTCCAGTAAAAGATAATGAATTGAGAGAACAGATTTGACAGTTGTGTAGTATTTGCAAATAAGGAATAATTTACTCAATAAGAATTTTCTTGCACCATCAGCTGATGATATTAATCAGCTGCTTTGTAAACAAACAACAAAATTGTTCTCAAGCTAATTGATTGTTTTGTGAATTTTATTTTGATTTTGTATCATTTAATATTAATGTAGATGAAGAAAACGCAAGTTTTCTTGTTATCTATTTTTCTAATTAAATTGCTGTTTTTGTTTGCCACAAATTATTTGTGGTTTTTATCAGCTGTGTCGATACAAACTTTTTACTCGTTTACTTTTTGCAATTTTCACTTTTGAGAACGAACAATAGATATTTTCTCTCTGCAAATTTCTACTGATTAAATGTTACTGGGAAAGTAAACGAACCTAATTTTAAATTGTAATCAGCTGATACTTGTTTATACACACACCCAGATGCAGACTTTTTTACAAAAAAATTATTTTTAAAAATTAGCTGATACTTGTATATATATATATATACACACAGATGCAGAATTATTTACAAAAAGAAAATATTTTTACAATGAATTTTTATACGCAAAAAAGGAAGATTCTGATTTTAAATTTGATGAAAGCTGCTATAATTTTGTGGAAACTGCAAGAATAATACTACGTTTACATGGATGACTTTTTAATGAAAAAAAATAAAAATGCTAAGGAAAAGATGGCAAATTATGATGATTTATCGTAAATCACACTGATTTATGATTGTTATCAATGAATTTTATTGCCCAAGGCCTATAAATAAGGTCAGCCAGGGAGACCAGTTGCCTCTCAAGGTTGCTGTCAAAATCCATTATTGTGAATTGACATCCGTTATGAAAACGTAAACAAAATTGTATGTAGGTTGGTCTAATCTGAATCTACACATTGTTCTCAAGATGTAAATTTGGGCATTGCAAATTTATATTAATATATTTTAATTTATATTTTGCTGAAAGCTAATATAAAATTAAATTTATTAAAAAATCGGAATCGTATGATTGTATGCATGATGCAATAACAAGGTGATGTATCAAAATAAAAACTTTTGGTTTTATCTCGATCATCTGTCAAATTTTTCCTTATAATATTTGGTTGGCAACACTGATTCAAGGAGAAATTACACACTTTGACAGTTAATCGAGACATCAGATGTGCTATTCATTGTGCCATGCTTTGACAGTTTATCGCTAAATGGAGTACATATTTATTGTGACATGCCAAACCGTGATTACACAATTACGGTAAACTTCACAGGCTATGTTACACAAGGTGTTTTATAAAAGTCATGGTTTATGAAAACAAAATCATCTGTTTTTTTATTCGACCAGCTGTCAAATTTTTCCATATAATATTTCACATGGTTGGCAACATTGCACACCATACCTGCATGAGACTATCTTCTATAACTATGTCATGGCCTATGATTAAGGCCATCAAAACTATATGTAATTAGGGCGCGCTCTATTTTTGTATGTGAAACATAGGGAAATCAGCTGTTTGAACGAAACACATTGTTGGAAGAAAACATTTGAATTGCAAGTCAAGGAAAAGAATGAAAAGGCAAAAATTATAAATTCTTATTGCGTTTATAGATGTTTAATAGATAATATTGTTTAAGAAAAAATAAAAGTGTTGTTTTGTTCATAGATTATGTCATATGAAAAATACATATGCAGATTTCAACACAAAAACTAAAAGTCTTGTTTATGCTGCTACATATTTTGTAAAAGCACCCTAATTTGAGAGTACTATGGAATATCATTCTTTATGAAATATGGATGTTCACACTGCCCATCAAGCCAAGGACTATGAATAAGGACATCCAGGGAGACCAGCTGGATATCAGCTGCTTCTCAAGTTTACTGTCGAAATCCATTATTGTGAATTAACTTTCATTATGACAACACAAACAAAGTCCACATTTTTGACATTGGACTTGAGAAAACAGCTGATTTCGCTTGCCGTGTGACCTCATCAATAGATCTTGTATCATGCTAATTTTATGAAGAAATGTCATTCTAAACTGAGGGTGTGAACACTGTTTTAGAGGAAATTTACTTTTAATTGGTTATCTCAGATTGCAGTGAATATTTTGATATTGATATTTGCATATCTAAAACTAGCTTACCACCCTAATATAAACCCAAATATATGTAGACATATTTTTTTTTGTCATAGGAACGTGGTAGTAGTTGGGGTTTTCTTGACACGAGATTTAGCAATATGTATTTAACTATGATCCAATGAGGTATGTAAATATTTGCCATGCTGATGACATGAACTTGAGAAATATCATAGAGCTGCTGCTACTGTCTCTAATAATCGGAATAGCAAAAAATCTCAAATCAGAACCCAAAAATAAAATATCCAAAAATATAAAAACAAAAAAATCGTAATCTATTTTGCTTTATTTCTTTGGAGGTTACAGCAGGAGAAAAAAAATAATATTTTCAGATAAGAATTTTAGCCGCGATGATGATCGTGTTGGCGAAGATGATGATGTGAATAGTGATGGTGAGGTAGATGAAACGCCAGCGGAATGTTAACCAGATTGATATCTCAAACAACGCTACAGTACAGAAGTACGTTGCAGAGGTAACGTAATCAAATCAAATATGTATAATGATAAGATCGTCTTATGTTCTTTTTTCAGAATTTTTTTTTTCGCCATACTCCGGACTAACTAAAAATGTCTGATAATAAAGATTAAAATGATGATGTTTAAGATTGTTGAGGCTGTTACTGCTGCTATTGTTGTTGTAGTGTTGTAGTCGTGCTTGGCGAAAAAAAATTCAGCGATTTCAAATCAATGCAGTGGGCGCCAGCAGCGTTGAAGGTTACAACAACAAATCCTGCTCCGAAATTTTGATACAAATATCAGTGGTTCTGACTAAAAGGATTTTAGTTGTTTGTTAAACTTAGACGATCGTGGGTGGATCTATATAATATATATATAGAACAAAGAGTTTTTGTGTCTGTTTCGTCTCTGAATGTGCTAAAGAGAAAGTGAGTGCCATAATAATATAAGGATTTTAATAAAAAAAAAATGAAATATAATAAAAATAGAAACATGAACGATTTTTGGTGACAAAAAATTCAAAACATAATTTATGAAGTGAAAATCTATAATAAAATTCATAAAGATTATTTAATTAAGTGAAAAATATTATACAATAACAATAATGGAATGCAGTTATCATTTTTAATTGAAAAATTTTTTTACGAAGAAGGAAATTCCAATATGGAATGGAATTTAATGAATAGAATTCATTGAAACTTGTTATGTGTAAACACTGTTTTAAAGATTGTTCATCAGCTGATAACATGACTAAATTAATAATTAATTGACACGGTCTATAAATAAAATCAGCCGAGAAGCAAAAATCATCTGTTTTCTGATATTTAATATTGCATTGTTTACATTTTCATAATGTTAAGTCAACACAATGCATTTTGACAGCAAACTTGAGAAGCAGCTGATCATCCATGGCATAATTATACAAGATAGTCTCATGCAGTCATATTTCATAAATTGGCCTTTGACAACATTCAGCTTTCAAAATTTAAATTAAATTTTATTTTAAATTTTGAGAGCAATCAAATTCTCAAATGAGTCTAGCTTCTTTAATTATGCCATGCTGATCATCCTGGGCGATAGGCCTTGATCAATTTACATTATTAATGATTGCTCTCATGGCACATGTATAAGGTCAACCAGGAACAACCGGAATACTATATCGTGCTCTCAAAATGATTTCTATTTGGAATCAATTCTATTGAAAATATATAAACAAATATTTTCACATAATTTCCAATATGGAAATTATTGAATTTAATGTAGTTCATAGAAACGTGTTATGTATAAACACTCTTTAATATATTTTTGATCAGCTGATTACATGATTAAATCAATAATTAATTTACAATATTATTATTAACCAGGAAGACCTTATACATGTACCATGAGAGCACATGTATAAGGTCTTCCTGGTTGACCAGCTGATACTGTCTTGTGCTCTCAAAATCCTTTCTATTTTTTGTAATTAATCATATTAGAAATGTAAATAAACATTTTGACAATATGAAGGCTATTACATCACAATAGTTTTTGTCGTTGTAGCCATGATGCAATAAAAAGGTGATGTATCAAAACAAAAGCCTTTGTTTTTGTCTCGACCATCTGTCAAATTTTTCCTTATAATATTTCACATGGTTGGCAACATTACACATCGAATTCAAGTAGAAATTATGCACTTTGACAGTTAATCGAGACATCAGCTGCTCTAAGTGGACTACCTATTTATTGTGCCATGGTCGTAGCCATGGTAGAATTCAAGATCTATTAATAAGGTCACCCAGCTAGCAAAAGTCAGCTGCTTTGTCTCAAGTCTTATGCCAAAAATTTGGACTTTGTTTACTTTTTTTATAATGGAAGACAATTCACAATAATGGCTATTGACAGCAAACTTGAGAGACAGTTGATATCCAGCTGGTCTCTCTGGATGACCTTATTTATAGGCCGTTGTTACAAGGTAGGGCATAACTACCAGCTGATTACAATTTTTTCTGAAAGTGACTGGTTCCATCAAATCAAAATTCATAATTTGTGTATATATTTGTATTGTTTTGAATACTATGCCAAATAAATTCAAATAAAATTGAATTTTTTTTTAGAATTAAAGGTATTCAAATTTATTTGAAAGTTTCCTTGGAAAAATATTTTTTTTTAAATCCACGTTCCGATGTTCCTTGGAAAAATATATTTTTAAAACAATTCTCTCCTATTGTAAACCTTGTAAAATTAAATTATAAAAAAAACTCTCGTCAAAAGAAAACTTTAAAAAATATTTTTTTTAATATCAATATTTATTGTAGAACTTGGAAAAATCTTTTTTAAAAATTCACATTTAAACTTTGCCTTCAAAACGACTCGATTTCGAAATCGAAATACAAATAGATTGGTATTAAAATGAAGTTAAATGAAGTTGGCAGTCAGCTGGTTTCATAATTCAATTCCCTGGAATATATGCCAAATAAATCACCATAAAATAAGTTAATCAGCTAACAAGTTCTAATGTAAATGCCATTTTAGTCAACATATGTCAAATTTTACAAAAATTCTCCAAACCTTTTTTATTTGCCCTCCAAATTCAATTCCAATCGTTTACACTGCAACAAAGCAATCATCTACTTCTGTAACTGAAACCCCCTATAAATTACCATATGACATAAATGTAAACAAAGCAGCAAATAATAAACATAAATTCCCGCTCATGCCTCCTTAAACCATTTTTGTTAATTCTGTTCCAATAATGCAGTTTATAATTTACATTTTCAAATTTAATTCTTTTTTTAGTTTGGCTTACCCGCAATATTTATGGAGGTCTTTATTGATAATGCTTAATATTCTTTCTTTATATAACAAAAGTTTATACAATCTATAAATAAACACGCTTTAATGTGTTCGACGTAACATTTTGAACTAATTTCATAAGCCAAAGACAGTAAAGACTTGAAAGATGAGAATATTTATAAATGAAAATTGTTTCTAAAAAGAATATTTTGCTATTGAAAACAGCTGATCATATTAAACCCTGTACGTGTAAACTCCTTTTATTTGAGTTTATTTATTTTTTACACTTAAATATTACAAAGGAAAGAATATGACAATTTAAATGAAAAACAATCTTTTTTATCACAAAAACCTGTTTTAATAAAACGCGTTATATATCTAATTTTTTTAGACGGCTTCGTAAAGCATGTGACTGAGATGCAAGTGTGTAAAGTGTTATGGATTTTTGGTCTGTTGCCGTATACCAATAATCTACTAGATCTTACTATTTTCTTCGATATCATAAAGGAAAATTCGTTATCGTAGTAAAAATTAGTAGAATCTTGCAGTACGGGAACAAACCATATGATAACTATTTTAAACGGGGTTTATATCAAGGCCTATTAATAAGGTCATCCAAGGAGAACAGCTGGATATCAGCTGCTTCTCAAGTTTGCTGTAAAAATCTATTATTTTGAATTGATTTGCATTATGAAAACGTAAATCAAGTCCAAATTTTTGTCCAAAATCCAAATTTTTGCCATTAAGCACGTGCTGTGCGTATATTTTGAAGAAAGATATATTAATTTAAATTCTGAAAGCTGAATAGACTAAAATTCATATATCAATTGTTTCCTTTTTTAAACTACACTGTGTTCACAAGAGATGGGACAGATTTGTTTACCTTTAAATTGTCAAAAATATTAATTTATTAATTAAGTACTTCTTCAGGCATCAGCTGATACCTCGAAAATTAATTCAATGTTGGATTTCCTTGCCATTTTGTGTAAACTTCAATGTAATAAATATTCCATTAAAAAAATATTACAAATAACATGTTAACTAGTCTATACCCCACTTAATAGTAACTTTTACAATATCAACAGCTGTTATTTATGTTGTGTTTACATCCTATATGTTTTAATTAATATTTCTGACGGATTGAAAAATTGCTGAAACTTTTTCTGACAGCAAATAGAACATTGATGGCTCTTGTGACATATTTCTTATTGGAATGCGAAATCAAAAAATAATCAGCTAACAACAATTGCATACATACTTGTTATAGAATCATATATTGATAACTAATGCCATCATCATTAATTAATGACGTATTTTGTTTCCATATGGTTTATAGTCGTCTCATAAATCTTATCAACTACATTGGCTATTAATTTATAATTTAATTGGAGAGATTTTATCACAGAAATTGAGGAGAAACAAATTTAGAAATAGGCCAAAATTTGACATGTGAAATTGCACTGTCAATAGAACAACATCAAAATAAATAGCTGACGGTTTGTAAATAAAAATATTCAACAATTAATTTGAATACGAGGGCAGTTCGGAAAGTCCTTAGCCTAGCACGATCTGGCAACTCTTTCATATAGAAACAGGTGTTCAAAAAAGACGCATCTGCAATTTTGTACAATGGAAAAATTAGAAATGCGTGATTTCATTGTATAACATTTCCGGATCAGCTGTTTACAAATAAACAATGTTTGTAGCTTATCGATAAAATCATGTGCTATATTATTTGCTTAGTTATGGGAAATTTAAAGCTCAGACTATACCATGGGTCAATAAATAGGAACTCCATGCATAGTTAATCAAGACATGAACTACCTATTCATTGTGGCATGACCAAGGCCTATAAATAACGTCGTCCAGGGAGACCAGCTGGATATAAGCTGTCTCTCAAGTTTGCTGTAAAAATGCATTATTGTGAATTGATTTTCATTATGAAACAAAGACCAAATTTTTGACATTAGACTTGAGAAAAAACGCACAAGAGGACTTCAGGATTGGCATGTTAAGTTGACTTCTTTTATTGTAAAAGAACGGCGTCAAAAATCAAGTTTGACTCTGATATTCCTTTATAAATAGATATTTCATACAAAGCCAACTTATACGGCATTTACATTAGAACTTTTTACCGGGTTAACCTACTTTATGAGGATTTATTTGGCATATATTCAAAGGAATTGAAAATTTAAACCCACTGGGTTAACCAAATCCGGTTAAATGTAAACGACCTTTTACTAGGCCAGGCCGGAATCCTCGTATGTGTTTTTCCCTTAATTAAAATTGCAATCAGCTGGTAGCTATAACCTATTGTTATTTCTAGCATGCAAATTGCTACTACTTGTCGTCAAACCAGCTGTTTTCCTGTTGACTTTTTCTGCAATATATTAAAGAGTATTAAATATCCACTATCTCTCTTTCAAAGTAAATCACTGAGAAGTGTTTTTTTTTTATTAAAATTTATTGTTTACTTCCGCATTTTTTTTTTTCCTTATGAGAGTATTCTGTCTCTCTTCTCTCTAAAAAAATTAAATCGTGTAATTTGTATTCTCCTTTAAATTCACCATCATCTGTTTTATGCCTGGGAACAATTTGCGCACGCACACTTCTCGCTCTGGAGTATTGAGAAGCAAAGAAAATTTCCATATTT